TCTTTTTTATATGATTGGATTTTTTTAGTATTGGATGACATGTTGTTTTGTATTCATATTTCAATTCATGATTGAGATAAATAAAGAAACAAAACAAGAATACCCAGAAGCGGCACTTTACGAGGAGCACGTGAACGCACCATCGCTCCGACTCAGTCATTCACAGTTTTGGGTCCCTCCGGTGACTGAGCAGCTCCTCCTCCTCCTCCTCCTCCTCAGTCTTCTGTAGATGCCTTTTAAGCTTCAGCGGGGAAACGGAGAAGAAGAATTTGTCAGTGGTTCGTGCGTTTCAAACGATGCCGATGAAGTTGGAAAGTAATGAGCGAGGATGCTGAAAGTGCCGGGAAGCCCGCTTTGTTCGGAGGAGCGCAGGGGCTTTGTGCCGCTCTCATCCCGCAGCTTCTTCCCTGCTGCTTTGTCTTCTCCTGGCCGTCTGGTACCGACCGGTAGGTGCGAGTTTCCACCGAAGCCACGAGATTTCATCTCTTTTGTGTTGGATGTGCTGATAGTGGACTGCTCTTTGTTCCTGTGAACATCAGTAAAAACCTGTGACCAGTCTTTTCCTAACAGGACTCTGTCTCTCTGAGGGCTGATGGAGATTTATGTTTTGTGCTAAATTCCACAAAGAGTGAAACCTCTCCTTATAGAGATATTTTAAACCTGATCTTTCTTTGTGTCTGTGCAAGGATTCATATATATATATATTGTAGTCTGTGTTAATGATTCCTTTGTTGAAGCCCATGCTGCTGCAGCAGTTTCCCTGCCTTTGCCCGTTGCTGTGTCCGTGTCAGCAGACCCTAAATAATTGATTGGACCCTCACCCCTCGTGGTTCTCACCTCATGCTTTTAATAGACTTCCAGGGCGCCTTACATCTTTGAGTCTTCAGATTTTTAATATTGAACCTGAATCCTTATATTTAATTTTTTTTAAAGCTGTGTTCACAATAATAAAAGAGGAAATAGAAATGTCGTTAGCACCAATCGGACAGGTGAAATATCATCCCGTCTTGTTCATTCTGTGGCTGTGAAATCATGGCTGCTGTAGATTTTGCGTTGTTCTGTGAAAGATGAGATGATTTTCATGCCCCGGGTGAAAAATTGCTGCCTCAGTTCCTTTGTTTCCTCCACCCTGCTGCTCTCTGGCTGCTGGCCTGTTTGCTGGAGGATCCTCTTTTTTTTTATCTTACACTTGTTCTGTTCAGCATTAAAATCCCATTATTCCCCAAATAGCATTAATGCAGTGTGAAGCTCTAGTACAAATATGCATAATAAGCTGTTAAATCAGCATATTGCACCAGATTAAAGTGATGTTTTTATTGTTAGTGTCTTGTCTCGTGTTGTACCTGTCACCTGGACACACACACACACACATTGAACCAGCTGCAGTGTGTGTGTGTGTGTATGTGTTTTATTTGT